CATTCGACTTGACTCCATTCACCCACCATTCTCGAGCTCCTCAGCGGAATGCTTAACAAATGCGATGCTCTAAAAAAAGATTCAAAATCTCTTGAAAGTTTAGATGTTTCTCTTCTTGATACGGTAATACTTGCTTTCGACAAAGAGGAAGCCATTGGAGTTCACTTTTACAAAGAACACTATTCGCGTAAACTTGTGTGTTCTTAAAATTACGGTCGCAAAAATATTTTGACATTTTCTGCAAAATACTCCAATAGGACACTCCAGGAATAGGACTATAGGACTTTCTGTAGAGCAAAATAAAAAGGTTTCGTAGCTAACAAAAATCAAGGGTCAGAGTAACTTTTATTTAGATAAGTGTAATCCAAAAAAAATGAATTTACTGATAGCACTCCGTTTTATTTCAACTTGCAAAGTTGCTTATCTATGTCACCATCGTAGTAAGTAGCTGTTTCTAGTGCTCATGCTATCACCATTAGATCTCATAGCTGCAAAATGTCATGCACTAAGACAAAGGAATGTTGCCATTGTTTATAGCATACGAAACTACTTTGTTACCCCCCTCCACCTCATTCTCATCCATAGATATTCATCAACTCATCTATCACATCAATCTGAACTACTGGATGGCAGAGAGGGGGGAAGAGTCTATAACGTCCCCAAGGGTTTCCGCACATAATGCGATAGCAAGTGCAGGACGGAGGGTCGCCTTGCTTGCATTACTCTCAGCTTAACACATCAATTGGAGTATTTTGCTTGATCGCGCCAGACCCGTCCGACTAAGAAATCCCAAAGCAGTTGGGGTGGTCAGTATATACACTGGCTATACGCTGTCATCAGAATTAAGGCGATACGCTTCGACATCGGTTATGTGAGTTTTCTGAGCATTTGTGGCAATAGCGGCTTTCTCATGATGAATTTGAGAGGTTTTGTAGAACAGATGCGAGTTCGGGAGCTACTTTTAAGCTCCTACAACCTTCCCAAACTTCACTATTAATATTAAAAGCTCCTTTTTTCATTACAACGTTAAATAGCCGATGTTAGCCTTTGAATGGAATTTTTATACGTCGATGCTTATTACTGAGGACTGTATGAAATCACAAAAGACTGCTCTTCTGATGTCTCCTGTTTCAGAAGCGCCGTGATCCTGTCGCGGCGGCGCAGGCGCCGATGGGCGACAAGTTGGACTACGATGATTCCGAATTTGATGAAAATTCAAAGGTGAAACGAATGGATGACAGGGATTTTGATTTGAACGTTCCAGCCTGAGTAAAGCTTTTCGGATAAATTTAGAAGGGATTTTTTAAGTCTTGAGCTAAGTCTTCTAAATTTTTCTTCTCGATTTTAGGTTCTTATGCACAGACCTCTCTCAGAATGAGACGAAAATGCTACTTGAAGGCACCAT